GATGAAAACTAGCAGACACTTGTCTGCCGTCTTCTACCACCGGCATCGGAGGATTCCACCGCTAAGTCATGTGATTTACTCCCAACCGCTAAACATTCTTTCAAATCTCCTTTCATCTCCATCTCGGTGATGACAAGAACCGCCATTACCTCTTTAAGAGATAGCATTATACAAGAGCACAAGCAGTGATTTGCAAAGATCGCAATTATGCAGTGTAAACATCTGCATGCCATTTGTAAGCTTATGTCTTTAAATGTCCCATCATCGTTTCTTAAAAGTCACATTTAATGATATGAGCCACGGGCAAATCGACACGCATGCAACTAAGAGCATCTCCAGAGCTATTGCCAGTGATTTTACAGCACTGATCATGGCTTTAATTGCATTACTGCGTACACAGAAACTCGGAGAGGAAGATAATCCAAGCTTGCTGCAGGACTTTGAGGTCCGTGCAGCACAGGGACACTCGAGCACAGCAGCTTGCCCGGCTTTGGGATGGAGCGAGGTGCGTGAGTTGATGTTAGATGTAGACGTCCGACGTTGTTGGCCTAATTATGTAATAAAAGGGGCATAAATGCTTTGAAGTCCTAAGTGCAGTTGTCAGTTTCTTTGAAGGCAAATAGTAATTGTCATGTTCACTGCCTCACAAATCAAATCTTCTACACATGTTTCCTCCTCCCCGAAGTCAAAGTCTGTGCTGTCCCTGCCGCATGCACACACACACACACACACACACACACACACACACACGGAAACATACCACAACAACCTTTACGGCAGCCTTGATCTGCGAGCTATACAGGAACTGCTGGGCCCTCCACCCTTTCATGCCCTGCCTCAGTCACCCACATCTGGAGCTGGTCAAAGTCTTGAGGTCCCCGGGGAAAGATTTTTGGTGGCCCCCGAAAAGAAAAGTCCCGTTCTGTCACTTCCTGAAATCCACGAGGGAATAAAAATGACCAGACACCCATCTGCGGAGATGCAGATCCTTAGATCCCTTCAGTATTTTATCCCTATGGGTGTCCGTACTCGCTGCAGAAACTCAAAAGCAAACAGCTCAACCAAAACCTGGCATCGCTGCCCTGGGGTTTAACCTTTACCACAGGATCCTGATGTGTTTTATATTTCTCAGCAGAGTGTTGTGACAAGTGTGTGGGTGGCGATGCATCAACAGGTAATACTCGCTAAGATTACGAGGCCTTTTCTCCTCTTAATATTCTCTCCACATCTTGCGAATACATCTGCGTTTGCACTTAGCTGCATGTGTAAACGGGTGTGTCTCAGGGGAGTCCATTCTGCCTTTAAGTGGTGATAAAGGCAGGTTTTCCATAACATGATGAAGCCTCCTTCAGGCTACAAATCTCTTCTTCCCAGTCATTTGAATAGAGAGCCGGTCCCGCTAGATGTTATCCCCCCCCTTGAAGTTCAAAATCATGTTAAATGACTTCCTTGTTCCTGTGCAATCTTTTTGACTACGGTGTTGAAAACCAGGTGACTTGCCTTCGGGCGAGGCTTTATAAAGTCACATCCTGCATGCTGCATGAGATCCTGTGGGCTTGCCTGGGTGTCTCAGACTTATGTCTAAGAGGTTTATCAGCTCGTGCCTCGGAGATTAGTCAGTGCTTACTATCAGGATGATTCCACTTCAAACTGCACATTTCAAGCCAATTTAGCCGCTACTTGCTCCGCTGAAAAAACCACCGGTAGAAATGAAAACCTCAACCAGGATGCTTAAATGAATACATAACTTTATTTAAATAAATGCTTTGTCATAACAAAAAAAAAAAGACAAAGGTTAAAAGAGTACATAAATTACAAGTTGAATAAATATTACACAGTGATATTCACTTTAATAATTTGAGATTTTTTGTCTTTTTTTTTCTTATTTGTCTTATGTAGCTCCAAATACTGACCATTTTTTATTTCCTGCTATCCTCCTGCCACCGATGGGTCTATTTCACAAGCCAGTGAACACCAAATTATGAAAACCAATTGTATTGTCTCATTACATCCAAAAAGTGTTATGTATTCAGAAAAAAAGCTGTACTGTAGTTACTGTACTACTGAAGTATGAAATGTGAATATGAGTTCGAACCAAGTAGGAGGTAAGAAACCTGGGGAAGCCACCGCCCACAAACAGGCGTTGTTTTATCCAATTCTGAGCATCAACTTGAAATTCACACAAAAGAAACAAACACCTGGAAAGTTTAAGCTCGCTCGCCAGGCGTCAGATATTTCACGGTTCTTTTTCTGACTTTTGAGCGTTCAAATCAAAGCTGAACTTGTTGCTGTGCTCCTGGTTGTGGCGTCGCGTTCCCCAGATTTCCGTGACTCCTGGTAACTGTCTTGCTAACTGTATCTAATGTCATGCAATTGGTGACCCCACATCGGGGAAGTGGCTAGGCCCTGATTATGACCACTGCCCATGGCGCTCGCTCTTCCTCTTCCCTCTCTCCTCCGTCTCTTTCCCTCCCCTCTCTCTCTATCTCAGCCGTCATCTCTGTGCAATAGGCCATGAGAACATCTCTAGCTGCGTGTTACTTTTGATCTATTTTTTCCCTAAAAGATGTTGCTGTATTGGAGGTCCCAGGCATGGGCTTCACAGCCCCTGTCAACAAATATTACCTCAAAGCACCACCTTTGAAAGGTAAGCACAAGATAACACAACATTTAGCTTTTTTTGTTTGTTGTTGTTGTTGTTCCACTAACTTCATGATACCACATCTTAGGATGTCGTTGTGTGTCAATATCAATAGTGAGTAACTGAAATAAGTGCAAGCTGCTTTTTTTCGAAAGTGGTAGTGGGGATTTGGTGTTGGAAGTGGGGCAAGGAGCCTTGATAATGTATTCACAACCAGAAGCCGTTTAGGATGCACATATCATTTCTCTCTTTTTTTTTTTCGTCTTTTTTTTTTTTTTTGCAGAAAAAAAACAAAATGGTTGATTAACCTCCAAACATCCTTTGGCTTCCCCTCTCTGGCAAACATATACATTGGCATTCACATGAAAAAAAGCAAGAATCTTAGCTTATTGGTTGTCAAAGAAAGAGAAGAAGGAGGTTTGACTGACTGCGGTTACACAGCGGTTCCTCACACATCATTCTTGTCCAGAATTACCCCGAGGTACAGGCGGAGATTACAAATGGATTCGCAATGCGTTGCTGACACCATTTAAAGGACCTACCACATTCATTGTTCTTCTCTTATTCAGAACTGAACCTCTTTATCGTCGTATCAAGTATCAGCCCCCCGGTGTGGGGGGGCTGTCTGAAAATTGCCCCGTATGATATCCATGTCACTTTCACGTCAGTATTTAAATGTATTTGCATGTAGGAAGGCACTGTGACTTGCACACAGAGAGAGAACAACTCTATTAAAGACCCTGTTATAACCTGTAACCTTTGTGTTTTGATCACGCTCCGTGTAGACGTCGGTAGACAAACTCTGCATGGAGGCGTGAGAGCAGAAGGATTCCAGAGGGTTAGCTTCTTTGACTGCCCTGTAGTCAAATGACTGTGGGTCATTCTCCTGACAGGCTACAAGGACTTATTCAAATTCTTTACAGGCTAAAATCTTTTTTTTTTTTTTTCCAAGCACAATTACATTATTGTCATACTTTGTCTCTACAGGAAAAAACAACATTCAATAACTATATTTAAAAGTAATGTAATACACCATGGTTACACTGTAGTAGCAGTACTGAGGGGAAACCACTTGATAAAGGAACATGGCTCAAAAGTGGGCGGTCTTTACTTCACTGAAGGCAAAGAAAACAGCACAAACAAAACCATACAAAACTACACTTCACACAAATGAATCAGAGAAGCAACCGGCCCGACTGGCAAGTTTGATTATGCACTCAACTCGAAAAGTCAAACTTGAGTCCTGTCACGTAAGCTGAAAATCGTTATTTCACCAGCGGAGTCAGCGCTCTCTAAGCTCTGTGTCGCCCTGCATGGCAGTGTCTGTTCAAATAGGCACAGTTGGCATATCAGGCTAGCTACATTGTCGAAGAGCCACTTACATAGGTTCATCTGTGACGATCTACTTAACTCTTTTTGTTTCTGAACACTCCATGTCCCGAGACACACTTTACATAATAAAGAAGGCCAGCCCCAAGACCACCTCAAGCGCTAGCAATACTTTGTTGTGACAAAAATCAAACAAAAGAGAAAGAAAGAGGAAAAAAAAAAAAAAAAAAGGACATTCTTTTTTTAGGCTCACTCCGTCATACACCAACATAGGCTCATACATACCACACATTCGCACTGTACACATGCACGCGTCCATGCACGCATCATTTTGTGAAGTTACACATATCTAAGCAGGTTCCCCTATTCATAAGTGCTCTGACAGAACCACATACCCAGATAGAGTCAACTGTTACAGCATACCCCTATCTCGTGTTTCTTTCTTTTTTTTTTTTTCTTTTGGAAAACAGACAAAAAAAAGAAAAACCAAATTACTCTGCCAATCGTCAGCTCCACATGTCGCTTCATGTTCCACAGCCTTTAAACTGATTTTGTACTCGACCAATGTGCCCGATGCTTATTTTTGTGTTAATTTTTACGTCATAGAAAGTGTTGTACTGAAACCCCCTAGCTTCTATAAAAATATATCCATTGTGTGCATATATTTTCATGGATCTGCAGCCAGGGGACCCGGCTCATACAAGGGGTCCCATGAAGCGATAGTCAAGGGATTTAGTAAATCTTCTGGGACTTTTCTCCTGATTTGGAGAAGAGTGCTTGGTCAACAAGTGAAAAGAAAAAGAAAAAAAAAATATT